GGGCCGGGGCTGATTGCTAAAAATTACGGCGCGCACGCCTCGCCGCTGTACACTCGGGCCAGCCCGCGTCGATCTAGCGTGAGATTGCGTCTCCTTGTTAGAATTTGTAACAGCTGCATGTTCCTGGGCATCTGCTCCGGCTGTCCCGACCAAGTCGAACGGCTTAATGCTTCGTCCCTGCCGGGACGAGCATGCTCTGGCGGCAAGATGCGACACCGAGACGCTGATTCGCGACGACTCAAGCTGTTGAAACACGCGAGCGGACAATTTGGAAACTCTGACGCCTCGGCGACGAACGTTGTCCTTCTGATGACGCGAAAGTTTCGTATCGCAGAAATCAAAGATGCGAAACTGATTGGATTATTTAAATAGTGGGAGACTGGTGTATAGATCTCTTTCAGTTTAGAGTTCAGCAGCTCGATAGATGGGTAATTATTCGGCTCTGTTAAAGGTCTTGATTACTTTGAAGTTGAAGAGGGTTAATGTATTCATAGATTTATCTGGAAATATACGCGAGGTAAACACACGTTGCACGAACGAGTTACAAGAGAGCATAAACTTTAACGGCCGGAACATTTCTACATAGAGGCAGGAATTATTTAAGGCCCCGTTGTTTGTACGTTGCTCCAGATCTTCGGACGTTTCCTCGCATCTTTCTGCCGTTGTATTCATGGTTAACCCTTTCGAAACCGGGCTGCTACCCCTGATAAGTCCATTTGCAGATTAAAGCGAGTTGTTCTGGGTGTATACAGGCCGCTCCATTTATCATGATTACCCTGAACAGGTTCGTTAGGCTAAACCGTGGGAGAATAATAGCTCCTGATGAGTTTCTTTGTTCCAGAGAGCTACGTACTTGTTACCATTCGATTAATATCTATTCCTTTCGCCGTGTCCCCTAATCAAGCTCGATTTCTTCTTGAAACTCGCACAAAGGAGGCTCGCGTGGAATATTTCCAATCGCATTAATCATAATATCCAACCTCTGCGATCCTCGAAACGATCTCCTCTCGAACCGTCTTAACAGCGACCCCGATAAGCAGGAAAATAATTTACCGCCGTCATTAATGTCCGTGACGTCCAGTACGCGCAACGAAAGGCGAACGGAAACAGGGAATAAATTAAAATTTACCTCGGAACCGGCGCGACGTCGCGCGTCGCGAGATGATGTACGACCGAGAGAGGTTTTGTATTTATTTAACCGGGGATTCCCGCGAATTCGGCCGTGTCGTCGAATCGCAGTCACCGGCCGCGCGTCTGACAACTGTTCGACCGACGGACTGTTATCTAAAATTGTCCGTAACGGCAGGGACCGATAATTGCGCGGTTTCTGCGGCCATATTTTCGGTCGCGATAACGGCCGGTTGTCTCGCCGGATCGACTCGTTGATTAACTGTCGCCGGCTGTCCCGTTTCCAGCCGCGGCAACACGCTCACGCTCGATGAAGATTTACGCGCCGGGAACGTGACTCCTTGACTCTGTTATATTGCACGCCGCTCTTTTACGGACTGTCCGCCCGTTGCGAGATTCATGCGCCACGCGCGGAATGGCGGCCACGGCTGCGGCCTGAACGAACGTGCCGGAGACACGCGTCTCGCGGACAATCCGCGTGCATGAGCTACGAGGGAGAGGTACGTCGACGTCCCCCGTTACATTTTTATCGGTGGTTATGACAGAACGAAAAGCCGCGGCTCCATTATCGCGCGCGCGCGCCGATCGATCGTCGAGTTTTTACACTGACGAGAAACAAATAAGGAGAGAAGCGGCTCGGAGACGCGTCATTGTCGCGTATAAATATTTTATTGTCCCGCGGCCTCGTTTGACGGAAGGTATTGAATTCCGTTTTTACGAGCTTATGCGGGAACGACCGCTGTAAAATTCGTTAGAGTTTAGTGGACCTTTTCGAGCGCGATCTAAACCGCGTCGTAGCAACATCGCCGCTCAAAGTGTGGCTTGTCGGAAATATCGACGAATGCGCGTTCTGGAAATCCTGGACGTTAACCGGGGAAAATGTAATCTCGAACAAAGGGAAGCTTGGTTCAGAGACAAGACGAGATAAGCATGACCGGTTGCGCGAAGGGTTCGTAAAGAATTTAACGTTCCGCGCGCTTCAAAGGGCGCTGCGACTTTTCGGAGAACTTTACAGGTTAACGTAAAAATCGCATAAATTTCTTTTTATCGGCTTTTATACCTCTCCTTTATGAAAATTCCTCCTGCGATTTACATCGGACGCAGTCCATATAATCTTCCGCGAAGTTTCTTATAGCGAGATTCTGTGAGCGTTCTGGATTTTTCTGGGTGATTAGTTTCTGTAATCGTTATGTTCTTCTTTTTTTGTTAGTTTCTTAGAGAAATTAGGCTTCTCGCATGGACGAGTTGAGCCTAGATCGAGATAGGATGGACCGTGCGTAACAGTCGATAGCCGAGGTCATCGAATGACCGCGAAGCCGGCGATCGGCCTCGAAATAGTCACGATTCGCTCGATCCATCAGCGAATGGCGAGGGTGCAGTACGCGATGCGGGGCGCGAGGTAATCGCGATTAACCCGATTCCATCGACTGACCGTAACGCCGATTTCGACCGAGCGTACGATCTTTTTTTCGCGGGACCCATTTACCCAGTGACGTGTTCCGCGCGGGCGTATTCCAGTTTCGTTTCAACCACCTCGGTGCGTGCATGAAAAGACCGCGGAACGGGGTCACCGGACGTTCCCTTTCAGTCTCCGATACGTTTTCTATTTCGCGATCAACCTCGCTTAGTCCCCTCTTCCTCTATTTCCCTGATTTCCGCACGTCCGTTCACATTCCTGCCGCATCGACACTCACGCGGGAACGGCGTATTCTATGGCCAGGTCGCCTGATGCATCGTCGGTCAACTGATCATCGGTTATTCCAACGTACAGCGATTTACAAACGCATGAAAATGTTTAACGCGTGAAACACCGTTCAAGGATATCGTAGATTTAATAAAGTTCCCATAGAACCGATTACTTGGAAAATTAGAAAATTAAAAAATATTTGGACTACGTATTTCATACAATTAATTAGTTAAATGTACGCGAATAATCTACGATCGTAGTATTTACGTTGCCAGGTCGGCTATAGAATCGGTTACATAATTCGACGCCGATACGTTTGCCAAGGGAACCATGATCCTTTGCAACAATATCTACGGAATATGACAGAGCCCGATGATATCGCGGCTGCCAGGACGTTGTAAGCGGAATTTACGGAATCCGGATTGAATAAATGGCCGGTGATACACGTGTGCCTTTGGGGGCGGCCAGATGCGCTCCGGTCATTCGTGCACCGACCGATACTGCACCGGATCGTAATCAACATAACGGCGAAATAAACGGGCGCGCGGCCGTCCGTTCGCCGATGTCACAAACTGTGAGTGACACGTACGCGCCGCTCTCATCTCGCGAATGCGACGTTACAGCGCGCGCTACGCGTACGGCCGTGTGTCGCGTGTTTTTATGGTCTTTCGGTTGCTCGTTGTTTATTCCGCTCATACGGTAATCCCGCGTCGGCCGCCGGTCCGGTAAAAATGCGAACGTAACTCGCCGCGATCGGACGGTGATCGAGCGTGTCTTAGGAGTTCCCCGATAAAATCACGGACGACACGCATTCGGTGCACGGCGCAGTTTGCGCCGTCGTTATCCGATGAATATTCAATGCCGGGTATCGATGAAATATCGTTGATAGGTGTACCGTGACATCGATGATCCGGCTCGATGGGGAACGCCGCCGAATCAGCAAGTCAAAGGGACACGGGCCGCGCCCCGGTTAACGATTACAGAAAACCCGCCAACGACAAAGACGATTTATTCATCTGTCGAGGAAAATAGAGCACGGGTAGGAGCTAAGGGGCAAGCAGAAGACAAACAGAATAGGTCCGTAGACCGTTTTCGTTATTCATGAGCCGACATTTTCCAGACAGAGTCCCCATCGATTCGCCGTTCGACGACGTCTAAGCACACATCGATATTGATATTAGAACGAATCGAAGCGATGCCGGTTATTTCGGTTGACGAGACGAGGCGAATGAAATCGGCCCGCTCGGTCAATATTTATGCGCCGGGGAACACCTTCCAGCTCGAATAATCCGAGCGGGCCGCGTTCCTCTTCCGCAAATTTAAATTCGCCTATTCCACCGACTCGCGGCCGCGTATCGATTCCCGGTAAAAATACAGGTATCGTTTCCGGCGAGTAGCTTTCCGATGGTATAATTCTAGTTTCCGGTAATTCCGGCGTTCGTTAAGCTTCTCCGTTCTACTGGAACCGAGGATCGCGGCAGTTATGAATCCGAATGAGGGCGCAAACGAGGGTGCAGTCGGAGGTGCGCTGCATCTTGTCCGGCAGTTCGGATCTCGATTCAATTCCATGTACCGCGTTCCCAGAAGAGGGAATCAGAGTTGCAGAGCTTATTATTCGGTAAACTCTCGAGAAAATCAAAGTTTCGAAATTGTATCAGTGACCTAGATATTTATAAACATCCAATAAGAAACATCTAAAAAGAAAGAACCGTCGATCCAGCAATTACATCTACTAATTAATATCTAATTAACATTCAACAATGTCCACTTCGCTCGCAGCGTTATAAAAGAGCCGAGCCATCTGCATGGCGGAAAGGCAGAGGAAATGGGGAACGAACCAGTCGTCACCGAGCGTTCGAAAGAATCGGCGTTCGCGCGAGGTTGGATTTTCCGCGTGAATCTCGTTGTTCTTCGGCCGAGCTGTTATTAAGGGGGGGATGGCGGCGGAAAAGCGGGAGCGGTTTTTGACGCGGTCGGCCGACGTAAATCCATCGGGCCGGGAATTTCCGCGCGCACGACCGAACAATGGCGGCCGGCGGATTCGATTTCACGCGAGACGCCGGGAATGGATTTACTCACGTCCAGCGAGATTTCCTCGGCGGCGCGTCGTCGTCGTCGTCCTCCTCCTCTTTGTCCTCGGTGGCACGTCACTTCCGTCGCGGATCGATCGTCGGTGGCGCATCAATGAATCCCTCCTGGTCGCTGACTCGAAGATTCCCCGTTGCAAATCGCGCCGGCGATCACCGGGTACGCGTGACACTGAAACAAGAAAGATAAATCGATCAGCTGTCAGCTCTTCGAGAACGAATGTCGTCGCATTGTACTTGAATTATAAAAATTCGTTGTAAATAGGTAATCGAATTCTTCAAACAGTGAGAGATCAGTGCAGTTTCCATTTGGCATTCGAGGTCTCGATGTATTTAATCGTTCGAGTCACAAGTAATTAAACGTGGAATGTATTACTTACACGATTCAAATGCGGGAAAGCAACGAAACGGCGAGCGCCAGTGAAATTCAAATACACCGTTATCTAAAGCGGTCAAATGTAGATCTTTTCGACGTGGAATCTGAGCATCCAGTTGGCGGTCGGTGGGACTCAAACGATTGACTTCCTCTGCCAAAGGTTTTGAATACTTCAAAAAATCCTCGTCGGCAAAGGGTGAAATCGCGCTGCGGCCGGGTTTACCGGCCGCCTGATCGATACGGGGGTGAAGGAGGACGGTTTTTCGCGGCTTGTCGCGGCGGTCCGCTCCGTCCCCCCATTTCTACGGTCACCCGGTCAGCGGGCTATTATTAAATTCCTCTTACGCGGGCCACGGACACCGAACGGTAATTAACGCGAGCCTACATTTTTTTCCCCGCGAGCAGTTTTAATTGCGCGCGCCGCGCGCGAGCAGTTTTAATCAAGCCATACTAATTTTTCGGCCGATCACAGGGGAAACTTCGGCGGAACTTGTTGCGGACCGCGCTGATTAAAGTTTCCCGGATGGCTACGCGAGGCCCGCGGGCGCTCTTTTAATATGGATTTTAGCCGCAGAACGTTCAATTTATCGCGAGGATTCGCCGGCTTACGAAAGACCGGCTCTCTTTTGTGCCGACCCCAATTTCGCATTTCTGTTCGACGCAGATTTTTGTGACAGCCGCACGACCCAGTGCCTTTTCACCCGACGGATTGAAAATTCTTTTAAAATTCGAACGTATTTCTCCATTTCGGAGATTTTTTCAGTTCCAAATGGGGAATATTTCAAGCGTGATACCCGCTTCGGACGAATAACGAACTGATTCCACAAACGCGCCGAATTCATTGCTGCACTTAACACACTAATTCGCGAGATCGAAGCGTGCACGGCTGTCGGTCCGCGGGTAATTGTTTCGAAGTTACGTAATTCACCGATGTTTGTCTACCGTTATGGGAGACTGATTGCCTTAAGGGCCGGCGGCGTATCACAAAAGAGTGTACTAAGTAGGATCACGTGAACGGGAGAGTATTTTTCCGCATTAAAATCATATTACGATCAAATTCGTGCAAGAGCCGCCTTCTGTGCGCGACGCCGGTCTACTTGAATTACTCTAACAAGCTTGAGGCTGCCTGTTACGAAACCAGCTTCTTCGCGTTATTATACCCAGCGCTCAGCGTGCGCTACAATCTCTTGGAACACCGTCGCGTCGCGTCGCGTCGCGTCGTCGAGCGGAGGGTAGATAAACATGACGGAGGAGGCTGCGGGGTCAATCGAACGAGTCAATCAATGCGCGCGGGATAAAGGGACGCGGTTTAATGGCAAAAATGAACTCGCTTCTAAATGGAATAACAATCGCGCCGCTGAGCAAGGGAATAACGTAAACCCCGGAGGGAATTGTTCCTTTGCGAGTCAGACGAATGATTGATCGCCGCCACTTCGTCAAAAGAATCCAGCGAACGGGAGGTTTACAAAATAAAAGCTGTGATACAGATAAACGGATGAAACGAGGAG